TTTCTGACACAAAATGTATCGGAGTTTCTTTAAGATCATTTGCATCTTCGGTGATTTTTTAACCGTTTCTTGACATGTTACTTATATAGCTAAAAGTATGACGTATACTGAGATCATCAGAACTTAAGCTGCAGTATTTATTCTACAGTTACTTAATTTTGAAATTATTCTGCACATTTTCTCAACACAATAAAACCCACAGTGATGACCCATGTGAGAAATGTGGTTTTGTGTTTTTCTCTTTTTTCATGTGAGTTTTAATTCTCAAAAGCATTTACTGTGACACAACACAAAATCAATTACAATGGCAAATATATGGTGCCAGGTACTGAAAGAGTATCTCAACCTATAAGTACTAAAAGACTGCCAAATGAAAGCATTTTTCGGCTTCAATATTTTAAGAAAAAGAAAATAACGTTCACATAACCAGTTTGAAACGTGTTAATATCAGTGATGAGGGAGCGAACTGTCCTACTCCTTATACTGGTAGCACTGTATCTGTAACTGGTATAACTGCCTTTTGAACCGAGAAAACCGAGAGACATTATTCTTGCTTAAACTGCTGTCATTAAAGAGGGATCCGAATTTCATAAGTCCTCATTTTCTCTTACGGAGAGGAAAAAATGTACATCGACTGTAGGCTTTCCATCTTTCCAGATATTCCTAACCCTAAACCCTCCATCATCCTTCACCCTCTCTATAAAAATAGGTTTACTCTTCTTTTTTTAAGACAGAGGTACCCAGAGCTTCGTCTCTGTGGCAATCACTGTCTGCATTTAGTGCATTTAAATGAGGATTAGTATTGCACATTTTAGAGTCATTACTCAAGGCACTTTCAGGTTGTTGTTTGGGAGCCCTGCCATCGTCCTTGTTCCCGTTCAGCTGGTCGGCCTCTTTGCCCTCAACACCGTTCTCCGCCGTGGACCCTTCTGACGACTGTGGGGGGGATTTAGTCTCCTCCGGCTTGGGCTTCTTCCTCTCTTTCACCACCTCATTTGCTGAAGCAGCATATGCAGGTTTGCTCTGGTACAAATGAAGAAAAGGAAAAAAGATACAGACCATGATTAAGAATTTCTAACTCTCAGACACTAACAGTAAGAGTACTGTATCTATTACATTCCACAATAACGCCTTTCATAATAAATTCAATCTGTCTAATTAACAGAATGTTTCTGTCATGCTACCTTAAAAGCCAAACAAAAACAGTATAAACACTCAACACTGACAAACATTGGGTAGACATTCACTATTTACAGTAAAATAAAAAGCTACATTTCATCACTGGTGTGAATAAATTCATTATAACTCTTACGCTTTGTTGCACTGGATAACAGCACAAGCTAAAAGATGACAGCCAAATAAGCTGCACACCTGAATGTTGTTCAACCAAGCTGCATTTTACTGTAGTACTGTATGGATTAAATAACCCAGGTCTTTGGACATATTCCACTTCACTATTGCATTTCACACAACTCATTTACCCATATGATTTTGTATTTTCAAGACAGGATACCTAATTGCAATGATTCTTTGACACTGCACATTGACAACATCAGACTAACAGAAAAGCTTTACTGAGTCTCCAGTGTACCACAAGGACCCCCTTACCAATCTCTTCTGTGTAACAGGAAGTTCGCTCTGCTTCAGTGTCTTCATGGGTAACTTAGCGTGAAAAACAGCACACCTTCTGACATGATCTTCCCCGCTTTACTAGAAAGTCTGAGCACGCGTTTTTCTAATCAAGACTTCCTCTTACCAAATTTCAAATGTGGGGCATACACTTTTTTAGATATGGTTAATCAACACTGATATCTTTTAGTGTGTCTTTACCAACCCAGGCAAGCAAGAATGATAATATAGGTGGCACATGAAAGATACCTTTATGTGCCAAAATCGTTTTCCTACTGCTGTTTTTTAATCTTCCACCACACTTTCATTCAGGTTTTGACAAGACTGATACCAGACTTCAAGACCACTATATTTCAGAGTGAATACTGGTCTCCCCTTCTATGAACAGGCAATGTACCCCTTGGGTGCAGCACCCAGGCAGCCAGAGGGGTCACACTATTTGGTCTTTTAAAAGGTTTGCCAATTTAGAGCACCTTGTGCGCCTTAGCTAAATTCTTCAAGTATGAAACAAAACATATTTGAATTACAATACTTTTACACAGTCATAAATACAAAATATATCTCATGTTAATTATTCTAGGAGTGTCACTGCCCTCACTTTTGCCCTTAACTACATTCTTTCAGAGATTTTTGAGTGTCTCCATGAAAACTGCCATTGTATTGGTTACGATGCTGTGCCCAAGTCACTGTGATCACAAAGTTCTCCAGTGTTATAAGTGCTGCCTCAGTCACTGGCATCTTGCCAACTAGCATTTGTTTCATTTCTCCTTCAATCTTCGTGATACTCACCCTGCCATTTAACAGACAATATACTTAGACAATATACTTTGTAATGCCCACATTCTCAGCTATATATCTCTGGGCTAGTTATAAAAGGTCTATTGTAGTATTCAAGTGGCATTTTTCCATCAGCAAACAGCATCTTTCTTTTTTAATGTCCACTGGTATCCAGAAACTTACCTAATATGCACAAACTTTCCGTCAAAATTGTATATAGGCCTACTACAGTGATCACCATATGAAGTACTTCAACTCTAAATTTTTTGCTTATAAGATCCTATGAGTATTGAGCAAAAATGATTATTATAAGGCAATTTCTTCATTGCCACAAGCAAAATAAAGTTAAACGTTTTGGAATACTATGTGTGGTTGAGCCTCATATCAGTAATTCTGGTGAAAAGAGCATACCACAGGGGACAGAGGGTTGTTTTATATAACAGACCTGACATTAAATGTCCGAGTTTAAATTATTCCTTTAAATCCAAACAACTGGCTTGATAATATTCACTTAAAATGGTTGGTCTGTAACACACCAAAAAGCAAGATAAAGAAATATCAGAATGCTACTCAGCAGTGATGCCACAAAGGAAAACGGGTTCCATAGAGTGTTGAAACACTCCCATTTCAGAGTCCAGGCTAAAACCAGAGTCTACAGCTCAAAGTCAGCTCCAATTACAGTCTAAACATACCTAATGAAAGCCAAAGATGTATTTCTGAATTTATCATCCTACACATACTTCTCACTTGAATTAAAAAAAAAAAATAATGTCACATGTTACAATAAAATTTGCACTTCCAGACAGTCTGAATTTCAGGGAGTGTCACTGATATGACACATGGAAACGACAAGCAAACTAACTTCATGGCACTGCTGCAAGAAACTTACAATTTTCAAATGAGAAACTGCTTAAATGTGAAGCAACCATAAGGATAAGATTTTGTTAAAACAATATTACTTCTAGAATCAGTACATACACTACATACATCAGTACTGAATATATCTACATAGTATCCGTACCATGTATGTATGCTCAGAACAGATGAATCATACTCATTAGTATACTGATTTAAGACACTAAAAATTCCTCACAATAACAGACTGCATTTTGAAGCGGTTAAAGCGTAGCCTTAAAAGTTGAGTTATCAGCTAAAAGCATGAGATTCCTTACCTGGTATGATCCCTGACTCTTGAAACCTCTACCATGGTATTTGGCTCCTCGACCAAAGGTCCTTATAACAGGAGTTGAAATCACACCTCTTGGACGACTATTGAAGAGAGAATGTGGTCAAAATGCAATGAATGAAAGTTTCTGCAATCTCTCCAGGGCTGAACAAAGTTTTTGAAGAATCAAAGCCGTGTTCACTTCAAGTCTGATATCTGCATATCAGACAACATAAAGCTAGTTGAAAGAATTCACCCATAAAAATAGTGAAACAGGTTCATGTAGCTGGCTTCCAATGCATTCCTACCTTGTACTAAATAATTCCTTTTTCTTTCATATGTAATTTCAATTGAGAGGTGTAACGTGATTAAAAACACAAGAAAATAAATGTTGATGGCCAAAGGGCTACATCATCTGCAGGTGTCCAGAGGAAAACACTGTAACCATGCTGGCCTATCCCATATTAAATATTAACACATATTCAGTTAATCTTTCGGTTAATAATACAATGAGTTTGCAACTTCTAACATACAGTTACTGGCTTAAGACATAATTCATGTAAGTTTGTCTTGTAAATATGAGGACGCTTAATTCACCAAATGCATAGTATTGTTTTATGAAATACACTCCGTCTGCAAATTTTGTCCTCACAGCCTGTGTCCAGTTTTGAGGTCACCATCTTGGTGGTACCCAGTACTCCAGTTCAACAGAATGCCTTAAATCAAGGACACCTTTGCCATCCACAGCAGTCACAGATCACGTTTTTGGTGTTGATTTTGTAGACTGCACCATCTCATAGGGCCTGCTTGCAGAAATGTCCTCAGCATTGTTTGCACTTCACCTTGGTTCGCTGAGACACCAGGTTTTTAAGATTTTCTTGGCTGAAAATGTATCTTGACCTCTGTCCTCTAACGACAGCCTTCACTGTCTGCGTATGCAAAGCTTACCCTCTGGTTGGTCCACCAACTGACACCACCTGTATGGGGAAGGCGCCCCGGCCACGCCCACGGCGACTCCCTGCCCACTGACCCACCACAGTGCCGGCAATCTCAAGTTTGCCACCCTGCGAAGGAATGGCCTGAAGTCCTGACAAGAGGGATTTAAAAAAGACTGTGTCAAACTGTGTCAGTTTGCGAGAGAGATAAACAAGCCTACATCATTTAGTCAATATTACTGCTACAACAAAAAAACAGGGCATTTTAAACTTCTGACTTCAAATTCTTCCATCACACCCCAGAGCTGGGAAAGGACACAACGGTCTAGTTATGCTTGTGGTATGTTTCACACTTCTCAATGGCAGGCTCACAATCCAAGAACAGATGTACTTCATTGGGTGCGTGCAGCATGTACAGCATTCCAAAGCAACTGCAGCTACATAACATAAAGCTGAAATTCAGAGTGGAAATCCTGTTATGGTATTAAAAAGGCAGCAGTGTGGTGTAGTGGTAATTGGTAGGGCTCATAACCAAAAGATTGCTGGTTCGATTCCCCGCTGGGGCACTGCTGTTGTATCCTTGGGCAATATACCTATCCCACAATTGCATCAGTAAAATTTCCAATGTATAACTGGATAATATGCGAAAGTGTATCCTATGTAAGTCGTTTTGGATAACAGCATCTGCTAAACGACAAGAATGTGATGTAATAAATGCATTATTTTAGCAGAGCCCATCACTGGCCACTACAACAGAGCACCACCGCTGTGGCTGGATGTTTTGCAACGTGTGGCCATCAGGTTCTTACCAGGCATGCCCCTCCCTCTGCCCTGGGGTGGAGGCATTGGAGGTGGAGGGTAAAAAGTAGTGTTGGGAGGGTAGAAAGGCATGCCGTGCGGTGGTGGGAACGGGACAGGGTGCGGTGGCCGAGTAAAGTTCAGCCCCTCCAGGATGCTTTGACGCATCTTCTCCACTTTAGCCACCTGTTCGGCCTGGGGGGAGGAGGAGCAGAACAGAGTCCACAAAGCTGAATTCTCAGACTTTATCAGGGTAACTCCACCTTGATTCTCCTTTGTGATGTGAGTTCGATTCTTTCCCACCCCCATTATTTCAAGTTTACAATCCAGAATACCCCACCTCTTTAATTAAAAACTGCTGTTGACTCATGACCTTCCGAAAGTTTAGCGCGAAGACATACAGTGCATATAAAGCAGCTGCAGCTAAGTGAGATGAGAGAGGGCTGTAGACTGGTTCGGAGCAGCTACCTGACCATCACAGAGGTCGATGAGCGGGGCCTTGTCCCGGTTGGCCCTGATGAGTTTGCTTTGAAGCAGTTTGCCATCGAAGTACATCCAAGGGCAGCAGTGTTCCCAGGGGATGGGCTGCCCGCACACATCGTTGGCAAACAGAGCCATGTCCACTCCGCTCATGAACAGAGCGGCCAGCTGGACCCCACGCGGGTCCAGGTTGTCAATCTGCAGACAGAAAACACAGCGCTCAGCAAAGAACAACGAGGACCTGTGAACACGTCTCGCTCAGCCAGGACCTAAGCACACAGCAAGCGTGAGCACGCCCTACATTCAGGCAGACACAGTCCCCCAGAGCCAACACACAAAGCCAGCGAGAAGAGCCTAGACAGCCAGCCTAGCGCACACACAGAATCCAGCAGAATCAACACAGAGCCACAGCGAATGACGTACACAGCCAAACTGGCATAATCAAAGCACAGAGCTACTATAGTGTGGGTGGTTTACATGTTCAGAGTCCAAACATACTCAGCTGCCGTCATCCAAACGTCCAACTGAACCACAACACACAGAGATGCAATTAACATCCAGAGCCCAGCAAAGCACACCTACAGCCTGTAAGCAACGCACACACACTGAAGCAATCTCTACTCATTCATTTTTGCTCAAGCAAAAGTGCAGCATCTTTTCCTGAAAAGCTTTTTCTTTTTTTAAAAAAGAAAACATGCTTGTAAAGCATTTAGGCTTTATTCTAAGCAAAAAAATATATTCTTTACATCAACGTATATGAAGGATGTCCTTTAAAAACTCAATAGTCCATGTTTTTCAGTGAATTCTTAATATATGGGACACGTGACAATCACCTTGAGAGTTTCCATTCAATTACCAATCAAAAGAACACAGAAATGAAAAATGTGATAACCCAACACTTCATATAAATTCATACACAATCAAAAACCTGATCCATATATCAACTTTTGCACAGGCTATTGAGTATTTCCAGGACAGCCCCCATATAACAATCTCTACAAAATCACCTTCAGTTCCTGCAGCTGGTCAGGTTCATATAGTTTAGGAGAAAGTGCTTGGGCTAGGAAAGCGTCAAGTTCGTTACGACGCAAAATTCTTACTCCTGGCCATTGTAACATAAACCTGAAGCAAAACACAAAGGATAAGGTATTACAAAATACAGGAACTGGTTTTATTATTATCTGACTATATCCTGTGTTACACTTGAGCCATTATCTTACTCAAAATGCAAACTTCTTATTATTTCAATGTTACATTGTCTGTAACTAGATGGGGGATGGATAGCTTGTCTGAGAGCAGTCTTGCTGAAATGTTATGTACCTGTCTTATTCAGAAAGGGTGACGGACACGTCGCGCGGTGGAGGACGCTTACCGCAGAACACAGCAGAGCACCATGAGGGGAGTGGGGACGTTGGCTGGGTTCAGCATGGCCGGTGTGTCGGACCGCATGCAGGCCAGGAAGGCCCTCATCCTCCTGTTCTTGTCCTCCACAGCCTTGCCCAGCCACAGCTTCTTCAGATTGGGGCAGGTCCACTCCCGGAAGGGCAGAGCCTCCACCAGCTCGGGCGTGTGGGGAGACTTCCCCTTGTAGGCCGCCCACTCTTTGATAATGACGGGGGGATCTGTGGGGGTGGGGGGACAGGGGGTGAGATGCTGTGATTGCGTCCAGCCTGCATAAGAGCACCCGCACGTTTTGTTATTTAGAGCACGCACACTCAGGGAGTCGGTTCCTCCGCATGGCGAGCCTCTCGGCCTTCTTCTTGGCCTCGGCCAGGCTGAAGAGGACTCCGTAAACATACTGACGGATAGGCCGGTACAGCTGCACCGCAGAAGGCAGGTCTTTGTTAGCTTCATCTTCAATGGTGACAGAAATCTTTATCTCACCCTGCCAAAGAAAATAAAATTTTCGTAACCAACCATTACCTTTCAATCACACCATTACTTTCAAGCAATCCATAGTTGTCCATGAGAAGCACTCTTATTTCGTGCAATTGTTTTATAAATAGCCAAACATGGCTTTGTAAAACTTGTCACCTATCTGCCTACCTGAAGAATGTTCTGACATGCATACTGGCAATTTAGCATTCACTCTACAGGTTAACAAACCACATACTCAGTCTGCTACAGAAAATCCTTCTTAGCATTCACTGTACTAGAAATGGCACTCTGATAACTGGCCAGTACTGTGTCCTTAGCAACAGCGATATTCAGATACCTTGCTCAATCGTAAAGTAAGTGACACACAAAATAGACAGACAAAATATCAGAATATTGAATTTTGCGAAACCATACATTTATGAAATGTTCTGTGGCCCTGAGAACATGCTGCAAAATCAAATTACCACAACTAAAACTGGATTAAAACAGGATTTTTACCAAACAAAAACCAGTCAATGAAATATTTTCTTGCTTCACTCATTCTCTTCATTACTCCTCAAGCACTGTTTTTGTAGCCATTTGAACTGCTTCTTACTAACAGCTCCACCACATGAGGCCACTGTTAGGTAGAAAGAGGGCAGCATGGCAGGTGTCTCTGATAAGACTGTGACAGTATACATGCCAGTTATGTCATCTGTACAGTTTTAGGACAGTTTGTGAAAACCTGAATCCAAATCTCTATATTTTTTATCATGCAATTTATTTTTACTAAAATTGTATTTGTACTGACACCACTCACTTACTTTGATCTATGTAGGGAAGAAAACTTGTTCAATCATGCTATATTTTTTGCCATCTGCATTATTTCCTGGGGGAGTATCATGACAATAATATATTGTGTAATCCATTTCACGAAACACATCTTATCATGAGCTGAGTGTATCTTCATGCCTAAATATGCATTAAGAAGACTGCAGGCGTAATAACTTTTTACGCAGCTGAGTTGGTATTTACTAACCTTGGTGAGGACATGGTAGATGTAGGGGTACATGAGGCCCTTCTTGTGTCTGTGCTCAGCCACCCGGAGCACCTCAGGGGCCACCAAGGGCAGAGGGGGGGTTGTGATATCCATGTGGTTCCTGGTTGGCATCGAGAGGAGGGAGGGGATTTGGGTGTTGACGCTGTGGTGACCGACATCTACACCCTGACCCACGGGAGAGGTCACGGAGGAGTCCTCAACCTGAACACATGGGGACACAGGTAAATTAATTGCCTTATTCTGGATACATTACTCACATACCCCAGTCTATCAACAATCAATATGATTGTAATATCTATGACATTTCAAGTCTAGACAGCAAATTTATGGAAAAATATAAAAAAAAAAGAATAAGGAGTAAGAACTTGAAAATCCAACAATGGTGGGTTGAATAAACTAATGAGATGATGATTAGTTTGAATAAACTAATGAGCAAATGCTTTGGTTGTACTTGAATTATGTGACATAAGAAATCACTGGGAAATCAATCTGTTGTTCTTTAACTTTGTAACAGTTGCTATTTTTGTCCCTGCCTTCTTTCATTTCCTCAAATACAACCCAGAGCACGTGCTCAGTGCGTGTGCCAAGCGGAAACAGAGCTGTGCTAATTCACTGATCTTTAAATGATCTGGATGGCTTAAGTGATCTTAAATGATCTCATGCACTGTATTCTCAGTCCTTTCAGGAGGCATAAGGATCAATGGATCTGCACATTGATTTTTGCACAGCTAGCTATGTTTCTTTCACAGGATACAGGGCAGAAACAATAATGCCAACTTTTTCAAGGTAAGGAGCAGCAAGTGGGTATTGTGCCATAAACTATATTTCAAAGACTGACAGGAGAGAACTTGACGCACAGCTTCAAAGCTCAACTTACTTTAATTTGGTCACCCAGTTCTCCCTCTGGTATGTTTCCAGACTGATTTCCTTGTTTGTCCCATCCTCCTTTATGGTCACTTATATGGCTAGAAAAACGAGGTACAGTTGATTTCAATGGAAAAGAATCAATTAAACAATAGCAAACATAAGAGACGATTTGCTTCAGCTTATGCAAAGCTTAGTTTTGGTGATCACCACCATGTGCATGAGCAGGGTAATTCTTAAGACATTTTCACATTCGGACATTCTCAGGAAATAAATGCATCTAGTGTTGTGGGAATGAATGATGGCGTGTTGATTGCAGAGGCAGCCAAACAATGACACTGTGGCAGAGAAATACTACAGAACAAAACAGGCCACACAGCGTACAGTGCACATATTCAGCTCAGCCCAAGGAGTCATGGGCCATTCCCCACACAGACAGGACACCAGAATACGTCATTTTAGCCTATCTGAAGTGGGACTGAGAGTGCAGTGTGTCCATTTCTGT